AGAGAGATGCCATGTAGCTGCCAAAGGAGAAAGACACCAGAACCTTACCAAGTAAGCCACAGGCTCATGGTGATACACAGATTAATAGGAATGGGTTAAATTTAAGATGTAAGAGCTAGCTAGGAATATAACTAAGCTGTTGGCAAAACAATGTTGTAATTAATATAGTTTCTGTGTGATTATTCTGGTCTGAGCAGCCAGAAATTAAAGTACAGTCTCTATTTACAGTCCTCTTCTGGAACCTAGGGGCACAGGCATGTATACAGTATTTTACATTCAGGCAAGATACTCATAAATGTAAAGTGTAGTGAGTGGGCTGCAGGCAGGCCTGCTTTTCGCCTCACCCGGCTCCCGCACGGCTAGCTTAGCCCCGGAAATAACAACACACAAATTTTATTCATTTAAGCACTACCTGGCCCAATATCTCTAGAGAGTTAGTTACTAACTCTCATATCTTGATATTAACCCATTTCTAATAATCTGTGTAGCACCACGAGGTGGTGGCTTACCGGAAAAGATTCAGCATGTCTGACCTGGTGGCCGGCTCCATGGCGTCTGCCTCATTGCCCTCTTCCCCAGCATTCTGTTCTGTTTACTCTGCCTACCTAATTTTCTGTCCTATCAAGGAGCCAAGGCAGTCTCTTTATTGACCAATGAAAATAACACAATAGACAGATAACCCTCCTCCATCAGTAAAGTAAAACTAAATCTTTCAATAAAATTGAAAATAAAAATTGTGACTATATTAAACATGTAGACATTTTTGCTCTGTCATTTACTTTCTAAACATCACACTGTAATAAGAACTCATGTACCATTTACATTGGGGTAGGTATTATAAAAAATGTAGATGTTAAAAAAATGTAGATGTTATAAAAGTATATAGGAGGTGTACATAGTTTATATGCAAACACTAGACCATCTCATAAAAGGAGCTTTAACATCTGTGAAAATTGGTATTAACGGGGAGGAACCTAAGAATCAATGACCTACAGATACAAGACCAAGGAACAAACTAAGAGTTTACCACTGCAACACACAAAGGCTGATAGACATGTACGTGCATACTCCCATTTTCAACATTATAAAACTCTTCTAAACAACAAAGAAAGTTGAGACTAGAATGGAAATGATTATAATACTGAAATGCTGTTAAGGTGTGAAACACAGCCATAACTCTATCTGGATCTAAAGCTGACAAAATGAATTTAGTCTAATAGGAGGCAGTTTTGTCTTCACTATACTGTATTATGTGTTAAGTAACTGAGGTTTTTTTTGCACTACTGTGTAAAAACACAATGAAACCCTAGATGTCATTCATGTACACAGAAGGCAGATGTAGGGTTGAGAAGGGACCCTTTATTTGCATGCTAATAGCTTTTGAAAGGACATGAAAAATTCTACATGGAGAACAATGGACACCAAAACATTTGTCTATGTTTAATAACAATATGGGGTAATCAACTAGTATTCTTGGAACTTGCCTGACAACCATTTTTGCCCTCTTTTAATTATACAGAGCATGAGGCTAAGATACAATCTCTAGCATAGGGCCCAGTTAAGTTACTAACCTCCCAACTCCAAGTTTTCCTTTCCTAGAAATTCTCCTTTTCCAGCTGCCATTCCACATGATTGATGTACAATGGGGTACATGCTGCTGTCTCCCTTATTCCCACTAACCCGGGAAACACCCGCACAGTAGTACTCAGCTTGCAGGAGTGGATGTCTGTCTGCTACCCATGACCAACAACGAGCCAAATGAAGAACCTCCATTGTACCAACATTCAGAATCAATCACTACTTCCCAATACAGAAGGGTACAGCAGGGAAGCCACATAACCCAAACCATCATTATTCCTGCCTCTCTGAGAATCTTTAGCCACAAAACACATCCACCTTGTTCGCCAACCATACAGAAGGCCGGTATTCTGCCTCAGTTTCCTCCTCCACCTCTGCCAAAGGGCTTCCCTCAAATTCGTAAGCCTCCCTTCCTGCCTTAGAACCACAGACCAGATGCTCTCAGGCTTTCACAGGCTGTTACTCAATGACAAGTATAACAGCATTCCCCTTTTCCAATCTCTTACCTCTTGGTTATATTACACCTATAAGAATCAATCTATAAAGCCTTAATGAAAGGTAAAACTCTGTTTATCATTTTTCCTAGACGACAATAGCAGTACTCCTTAAACTACCTACACAGGCATTATACTTTTGAGTAAAAGGTCACAGATGCAATCTAACAGACCCCAGAGTTCCAGGCAATGAAATGACTTGCAGAATTTTGCAGGTTCCAAACAAAATTTAATTCTACATGCTGAATCAGGCTTCTTGCTTGGTGTAATTTGTCCTTTGAGTGCCAATATTTTGGAATGAACAATCTCTTAAGACTCTTCTTTCTTATCTTGTGTGTCTTTCATAAGAATTAGCTGCTACACAGAGACCTGAGCCAAAGTGCTTTGTTCTTCAGGGAAATACAATTATCTTCTAATTCTGCTAGAAGAATCCAGACACTAATGATTTAACACTGTTAAAATTGCAGAGAGCATCTAAGCCCAACCATGCTGTCAAATGATATGTTACCATCTGTGTAAGGAATGTACTTTTAAGAAGATGACAGGAAGAAACTTGATAGAATTAATCTCAGAGATGTTTTTAAGAAGTGTTATTTTTGAAATCTGGGTTATATAGTCCAAAAGTCCCCCTCATCTCCCAAGAAAGAGGGGCTGGGTATGTCACTCAGAAGAAGTATGAAGCCATGAGTTTGAACCTCAGAACTACAAAGGGGATGGAGGGACAGTTACAAGTAATGTTAGGTAATTTAATATTAGCATGATCCCATGAAAAAGGCAGGAGTTTACAGGAGACTATCTTCCCAAAATGTATAGTCATTATACGCTTGAAACACTATAACTGAATCTGACCAGCTTTTCCCGTAACACTTTGTAGTTAACAACCAAGTTGTCCACAAGACACCATAGATTAAACCAGGCCCACCACCCAAATACTGGAATCCACTCACTTGTGCAAGCACAAGTTGGGTACCAAAAAGTTAAAATCATGAGCTTTAACAAAAAGCCATGGCTGTTTCTAGCATCTGTTCTTGGTCTTTGTGCTTTGGTGGTGGAATAGAAAACCAGTCCCCCCTAGTGTCCTGTAGGTGGCTGGAGGGCTGAGACATTGTGAAAAGCAGCCTCCTCTGTGAAACATTAAGTTAAAAACAACTCAGGAAAGGAGAACCTAGGAAAACGTTGGAAACCTAGAGAAGAATACTCATGGCCTATTAGAGGATTAAACCTTTGATTTTATTTCTAAGGTTCTTCCAGTTTCAACTTAAAAGTCAAAGGAATCCATATCTTCTCACATCAAAAATATTAGTCCACAATTCAGACCACTCACAGGCTGTCTGTGCTGACCCAGGTTGGAGGGACTCTCTGCTTTAGAAGCCTCTCTGCCCTACTAAAGGAGTTTGCTGCCTTTTTTTGACACTGGCAAATTCTGATAGCTTCTGCCCTTCTGAATGGAATTAACATGTCCCAGCTAGATAAAAATGTGTGTTCTCCTCAAGCAATTTTCACTAAGGTAAAAAGCACACTTCAAAACTAAAGGTACACAAGAGATGTGTAAAACCATCACCCAGGTTTTCCTTTAGTCTTTTTTCTCTCCCAGTGAGGCCCCAGCACACTGATGAGTAATTCATTCATGTCACCCATTTGTAATGATGAGATGAGAAAAGAAACCATCGTTTGTCCTTTTCCAAATTTAGAACCTTGCCCTATCAAGTCTATCAAAGGGTTCCTGAGTTGGGAAGGCAGGAGAGGAAAGGAGAAAGAGGAACATTAGCCTCAGGTTACTGAATCCACCAGAGAATAAGCACTTTGGGTCCCCACCTATGTCAATACAGGCATCTGCATTTAGGCGATGTGCTACACCCACCCCTCTCTACTCCTCATGTCCCCTTGAAGGGAGAGTCTGAGTTCTTTCTTGGGAGACTTACATAAGACCCTGTAAAACTTCCTGTGACATTCACGGAAAATGTAAGCTTCTATTTTGCTTCTTTGGGAGATCATTTTAAAGGTCTGAGTGACAAAATTCACAGATTCAGAATTCAGCAGAAACCTACTCAACCCAGGTGCATCAGCACAGGAACAGGAAAAAATGCATCCCTATTAAACAGGGTCACCCAGGAGATGGACTGGATGTGCAAAAGACAATCTGCTCCCTTTGGCGTGACCCATTTAAAAGCAGATTGTTTCGTGTAAGCCCATAAGTTTAAAAATTCTCACTCTGGCAAAGACATGGCTTGTAGAAAGAACTGTGGTTATATAGTGGGAGCGTTTCAAAGCAATGAACAGCATAACTTCATGATACTCAAACTTTAGTCATCATCCCAACGTCCAGAAGCAATGGGATTCACAAGAAATTCTGTCTAGATCAGAATGGATCAAGAATAAACTTCTTGATCAGTACAAGAAGTTTAGACTAACAGGAAGGATCAGGTGTGCTGGCTGTTCTTCCTCTGTGGGTATTGACGAAAACCAACCACTCTAACCTAAAAAGCTTCTTGCAAAATGTGAATGCACACCCCCAAACCGTCCTCTCTTCAATTAACTGCAAAGCAAGTTCTAGGGGCAACTCATCATGAAAGGTGGGTAGGTGAGCAGGGCAGAATGGCGGGAAGGGTCCCAGGGTGGTGGGAATACAGCACCTCCAGATGTTAGAGAACTCCCACACATACACATCCCACCCTACCATTGTCTACCAACATCCTGTCCGCCTATCAGCCTATCATACCATGAGACAGGTCCTGAAGACACCAGAGATTTACGGTCTTCAACCTACTGCTTTTCCAGAACTCAAAGCCACGTCAAAAACTGTGTGCCCTCCGTCTTCCACAGTAACCTAAGCACACCGGGTATCAGCCACAGGTATGCGTAGCTTGTTACGGCACTTCTCACCAAATCGCCTCACAAAGAGGTTCTCTCGCAAACTAGGGCTCTTACCTTGGCCTTGATTACCCAGGAAAAGGAACAATCCGGAAGAGCTGACACTGGAAAGCTTGGTGACACTGATGCCTAAGAAATGTAAGGGGGTCCTGATCGGTATCCCAGCAGGTGCTGTTTTAACCCGACCGTCGGTGCCAAGTGTAGACTTCGAGACAGCCTTAGGCTCCAAATACCACAGCCGCGACTGAGCACTGTCCCTTCTTTCTCTTCCTCCTGGGCTGCTGCCGGGAGCTGTGTCTCGCCAAAAAGACTCTTCCAAGCCGGGAGCGTCTCGCGTGGGCAGGGGCCTGGGGCGGCCCAGGGTTGGGTCCCGCGGGAACCAGCGCCAGGAAGAAACGCGGAGCGAACACCCTACCAGCTCCACCTCCCGCGCTTCTAGCCGCTTAGTCCCTTCAGGGTAGGGCCTGCCCAAAACCCTCCGACGAGGCGACTGAGTCGTGCGGCCGCGCCCCGGTACCAGCGTCCGGGCTCGGGAACAGCAACCAGGCCCGGAGCAGCTCAGCGGGCCCTGGCGGCGAGAGCAGCGAGCCTGCACAGGGACCGGCGGTAGCTGGTCCCAGTGACCCTCCCCCCACCCGGGCCTGCGCGCCCGCCCGCGAGTGCACGAGAAGCGGGAGCTGGAGCGGGCCTCGCCCTGGACTGGGGCGCAGGACCGGGGACTTGGGGCCGAGGTAGGCGACCCTTGGAAGGTCAGAGTCGCCGCAAGCGGGACGCAGCACTGTGGGTGAGGGGAACCCGGACGGGCGACCCCCACCGCCGCCGACGCCTCCGAGACGCGCCGGCTTCCCGGAGCGCTCGGATTTGGAACCGCGCGTCGGCTGCAGCCGCCGTGGGCAGCCTGGACTCGCGAGCCGAAGGCGCGCGATCCCCGCTTCCCGCGCGCGGCCGAGTGGGAACCTCTGTGCGGGGACCCGCGTGGGAGCGCGCTGGCGGGCGCTGGGGTTCGAGCTCCGAGCTAGTCCGGCGGCCACCGCGTGCCTAAAGCGCCCGGATCGCTCAGCAGCTGCAGTGACTGTGTGTCAGTGTCACGTCTGTGCAGCTGGGGGTGGGGGATGCAATCCGGACTGGGTTCCGAGCTGGGGAGGGACCGGAGCCTGCCTCGGGCTCCGCCCCTACCCCCGTGACCCTCACAGACGACCAATGAACAGCGCCAGGAATGAGCGTCTCAAGTGCCCGCCCTACCTAGGCTCCGCCCACGGCCAGGCGCCTCCCTCCACTCCTTGGCTGGCTGGATAGCAGGAAGAAGCAACACACGGAGCGGGAATCCCGGGCCGGGTCGTGGGGAAAGAGTGCTGGCTGGAGTTTCCCACCCTTCTTCTCCCACATGGGTCGCTCCCATCCGCTCCGGGATTGGAGGAAAGAGAGGGAAGGAAGGCAGACCGGATCCTCAGCTGCTTCTGTAGGACTGCCTGCCGTGGGGGTCACCGTGCCACCCACTCTTTTACAAAATTGCGGTCTTTAGGAAGTAGGAAGTTTCTCCTGCTCTTTCTTCTGCTGGGGACACGGCTCTCCCCTAGGTGGACAGGGTATGGAGCAGCTGGAGCTGCGAAAAGTCCCTCCAGAAGGTTTTGACTGCATATGTTAGGATTCTGGATCCAGGAATCCTCTGTAAGACATTTTTTTTCTCAGGGGTATTTACAGTTTTGCGCCCTCCCCGATACACACAGATGGGCCCCTTTCTAATTTTATTCTTGCTCAAAACCCTGCGTGCAACATCCCACTGGAGGTGAGGTTGGGGAGATGCCGAGGGTCCGCCCATGCAGCGGAAGGAGCGCAGGAATTTGATCACGTACTGTCCCTCGGGGCGGGGGGGTGGGGGGGGGGAACTGAGGCTGAAGCAGAGTCTGGGAGTCTGGGGAAGAGATAGAAGACACCGGCGGAGAGGAAGAGATAGAAGACACCGGCGGAAGGACAACTCCGACTGGAAAACCGAGCTCCGAGAGCGGAATCCAGCTCCCAGATTTTTTCCTCAACTCGGTCCCAGGGTTTCTGGGGCCCCCCTTTTCCCCCCCCCCCCCCCCCCCGAGTCTTCACCTCTCCACCAACCTAAAAGCCTTTGAATCTCCGCTTTCCCCGTGCCTCTCTCCGCAGGCAACCCACACGCTTTCTTTTGAAGGCTGGGAAGGGTGGAGAGTGGAGGGGTGAGCAAAAAAAAAAAAAAGGCCACCTAGCCTTTCCTCCTGAGGTGGGGAACCACTCCTCCCTGGGAGTCGGCTCCTCTCTCACACCCCGCTAGCTCTGGCGTTGGTACTTACACCCCTTGGGCGGTCCTTTGACTAGTCCAACACGATTCTGCTCACTCCAAGTTTTCCTCCAGCCTCTAGAAACCAGGACCCCTTCCACCACCATCAGGGTCTCTCCCCTAGTTCCCAGTAATATTTACCTAATCAGTGGTAGCCCCAGTGGAGGAGAAGGCGAAAGGAAGGTAGCGATTGCACAGTACAGTCCCTGGCAAAGAATTAAACAACGTTTGCTTCCGAGCTTAGGGATAGATAACCGTGATGCCTTGATATCTTAACTCTGCCGGGATGACTTTCAACGTGAAAGAAAGCAGATCGTACCTGGTGTTGAAACCATTATTGTGCCAGAGAAGAACATTATATAATAAATTATTATCTATTATCCTAGAAACCATTAAAGTGTCAAAGTTTAATGTCAACCCTTTAGCTGCCTTGAGCTCAAAGGCAGCTCAGTACTTCCTCTGACGTACAGCTTTGTTCTAGAACGCCCAGAAAACAAGATCATTTTGTATTTATCTATTTATTTATTATGCGGAGCAAAAGACTTTTCTACTCTATTCACCTACACACCAACTCTCGCCCTGGAACTCGATAGAGATAAATAGAAGATAAACTTTTTATTTATCGCCTCGCTTCACTTCATATTAATGGTGTAAAAGTGCATTATTATACATTAGCATGCTAATAAGGGGTTAGGGAAGAGAGTCTCGGAATTTACAAGCAAAGGAGAAAATCTAATTGACATCAGAAACTCAAAAGATAAAGAATGTGGAAAGAAACAACTCCACTGTAATAACACAAAATATCTTCATTGTAATAACACGAGAGTGGTACTTTGTCTAGATCTTTGAAAGATCTGAACAGGGTACTGGGAGGGAGCGTTAGTCACTGGGATCAGTGAGGTACCATAGTTACTAGGGGTTTCATGAGTTGGTTATCATGGGCCATTAAACTCCTTAGTTGCTGAAGAGCTTCTATCAACTCAAGGTTCCAGTTGTACAGCAGCAGTGTATGTAATAAGCTAAAGGAGAAATGTGTTAAGACTGTTATATCCCACAGACAGCACTGGTTAATTCTTATCATAGGAAGCTCCACATTGTAGTTTTTTCCTTTGGAAAACTGTTAAGCTCTTAAACCTCCCAGTCCAAGTGTGTGTGTGTGTGTGTGTGTGTGTGTGTGTGTGTGTGTCCTGAAGTTGGAAGTAATTGCCTAGAAGTTAAATGTCTTAGACATAAACCAAGATATAAATGTCAAAAAGTGATTTTGATTTTGAAATAATATAGTATGAAAATGCAGGAAAAATTTGTAAGGAAATATATCTGTTATTTCTAAAAAAAAAAATCAGCCTAGGTTCAACTGAGAAAGAAAGTACACTACCCTCTAAACCAACTGCTATTTATCCTTGCACCAACTTTGCACCTGTTACTGAAAAGTCTGAACCCCACCCTCCACCCCCAAATCTCTCTAGTCTCCTCTTTTCTCCTCTTTATTTAATAGGGTCATACAGAACTCATCTTAAGAAACCAGAGGTCTTAAAACAGCCACTAGGGGCCCCTAAAGGCATCTCAAAGTGGAAGGCAGAGATGTCTCTCATCTCCCTGGTTTCAGACCTGCTTTCCTGAGTACTTATTGTAACTGGGATCTAAAGAGAAGTAAAGAATGAGCATGGTGTAAAGACAAATTCAGGCCTTTGGCTTAGGAGTCAAGAATTTTGTTTCTACCTATTCTGACATCTAAAGCCCTCATTATTCCACAACAGGAATTTTGCATCCATTGATGGCAGCATCTCAAAGTCAAAGCAACAATGTCTACCTTTCCAGACTAGACTCAGTCTCTGATTTGGTACATTTTTCTGACTATCTGACTATTCCTCAAAAGCTGGTAGTTAGACTGAATGTTTGCAGAGAGAAACAACTTGCATACTACCAATGCAGCTACCAATAGAAGTCAAGCCAACTTCAAAATGTATGTGTGTTTTATGTAGAGGGCAGATGTCCATATTAAACTGGCCAGAAAGCCACAAAGAGCTTCCTCTCTCTACCTCCTCAACCTTAGGATGACAGACACACACTACCATGCCAACTTTTTATGTGGGTTCTAGGAATCCTAACTCCAGTCCTCATATTTGCAGAGCAAGCCACTTACCATACTGAGCCATTTCTCCAGCCCCGCCTTGGAGACTGGGTGCTAGTGAGTTAATGATGGCATTAGTGGGGTGCTGGTGCTGTAGGAAGAACAAAGACAACTGATACTTAAATATAGTGGGAATGATTCAACTTGGAGACTGCAGCAGAGGACAATGACCAGTTAAGAGAGAAAGGTTACAATATTTTAATAATGTTGCATTTGTCAAAAACAACTAAATATCAGGTAACCTTAACAATCACATAATCTCTGTCCCCCATTTTACCACTGAGTAAGGTTAAGAAGTCATTTATGAGAGTTGAGAATCGAAGAGTACCCATGTAGCTCAGGTTAGAGAAGCTGAATTATTCTCCAACCAGCGCTGGAGAAATAAATATCTGTAAACAATATTCTATGTAGACATGTTTCCAATGAAAATTTTCTCACCACGCATGAAACATTCCTGTCATTCTGGCCAATAATAAAAAGACATTCCTAGGCAAAGCAAAATGCACCCATCAGGAAAACAGAGGGAATAAGCCACTTACTTGGTGAAGAATTAAAGAATGTTAATATAAGTCATCAAATTAACACTAATGGAAGTATAATTTGAACATAATTTAACTGAAAACCAAGCAAGTCCAAAAGTGAGACATGAAACAGAAAATGAGAATAAAGTCTTTCTGTGTGAAATGAAAAAATATTTTATGTTCTCTGCATCATGTTCATTAAGT